ATGAATTCGCCTTGAATCTAGATTTTCGCCGCGATCCTTCTGAATGTCAAAATGATGTGTTCAACATTTTCTGGTAAATCCGAAAGTGAGTTTGTTTGTTTGCTACGCTTTCACGCTTTAACTACTCAACCGATCATCGTGAGATTTTGTACACAGCTGTCATTTAGCCCAATTTAAAATATAGGGTAAATTTAATATCGATTAGACAAGGGGCGTGGTACCTCCCATACAAACAGAATATTTCATACTGCATTTCTCAGGAAATATTTTTGATAGATCACTGGAACTTGGTATGGAGATATATAAAATCATTACCTACTCACGGATGAGAGCTGCCACCTTTTAATAAAATCATATTCAACTGTAATTTAGGGAGTTATTTATTTGAAAATTATATTAAACAATAAATGTAAAGGGGCTTAAAAAAGCTGTAGTTCGAACATATTTTGAAAAGGATGCCACCTGTTTGAAAAGTCAAATTTAAATTAATTTTACGCAAGCTATCTCAAGAATTAAAACATGGTTGCATAAGGAAATATTGTTAAGAAACCCTTAGTTTAAATTTTAAACCCTTTCGCAAGGGTTGCCACCTTTTTAAAAATTTAATTCAATTATTCTAAATTAAATATTACAGTAAAAGGTGCGCAATGGTTCTGGCGGTTGATTTATCGGTGGTGATTAACTCAGCCCAGGTGTCTCGGCATGAAGCTTTAACGCATAATAATACTGGCAAATCACATCCATTGGGCCAATTATTACACACAAGAGTTCGATATACTCATTGGTGCAACAGGTCGATTTAATCTGACATCCACGGCACCTTTTTTAACTTGGCGTTTATTCTTAAAGACTCCAGAGCCACTTGGCAACCTTTTGTGGCAATAGTATTGCCAATACATATTTTGAATATTAGCCAAAGTGGATCATAAATAAGATTTTTAGTAATAAGTACACAAAAAACTTTTTAATCGGTCCGGGCATTTGGGAGGATTTCAATCGCCATTTTTCTCCATGACTATATGATTGATTTCATACCAAGTTCCGGTATTCTAACATGAACCCTTTCAGAGATATACAGTAAGAAAAAATCGGTTTGTATAGGAGGTGCCACGCCCCCTTTATATATCGAAAATTTTCAGCTTATAACCATCCTTGGGACGTCTGAAGAATGTGTCCGAAATTTCAAAATAATCGGTTCGGCCGTTCTCAAGCTTTGCGAACACATAAAAAGGTCTTTCAAAATATGTATTATTATAGATAAATAGATTATAGAAGATTGGTATGAATCGAAATGATTTTGAATATGAGTGTCAGACGAAAGATGTCTAAAAAGGTTGCCAACTGTTTAAAAGGTTAAATTCAAACTATTCAATAACTTAAATGAATTATTACAATATGGTTATCAATCGAAATGATTTTTAATGGGTTTCATTTCAAAACTACATATAAGAGGTTTCAATCTGTTAAAAATCACTAATTGAGTTCAGGGAATAAGTTAATTGAAAAAGTATAACAAGTGCGATGTTTAAGAAAGTTTTTGTTTTAAAATATTTTGAAGATGGTTAAACAAATTTCAAACCTCCTGTTTTCTAATTGAGTTTTCTTGAAATAAATTTTACTCAATGTAGCACGTAGAAATTTCATACACTCAGCGAAGCGGGTGAGGGCGATCTAGTATCTTATAAAACGTTTACTATTAAACCTTCAAATCATCATTTCATTTCAACTTTTTTCCATACATTTTTTGGACCAACAGTAGTTGAGCATACAAATTTTTAAAGCGCTGTATGAAAAATATTAAAAAAAAAAAAAAAAATGGAAATTAGCTGACATTTCATTGCCCATTGCCCACTGGAAGAGCTAAGAGAATGTAACGATTTGAAATTCGTACAAAATTTTACGATGACACAAATTGGCACGGAAGATATCGTTGCATTCAGTATGACTGCGGTGCGCAATGACCGCCAGCGAACGACGAGTGACCGCCGGCTGAGCAAGGCCAAAGACAAGGCAGTGACTACCCAGTACAATACCACCATCACTACTATCACCACTACCACTACGGACTTTTATGTTTTTAATTTGACTACTATGCACATGCATTTGTGCTTATAACCATACATACATATGTATGTACGTATGTATGTACATATGTACATATGTAGTAATGTTGCATGCGCAGGCCTGACTTGAACCCACAAATAGGGTGCAAATGGCTTACCATGTACAAAAAGGTGAGGGTGCAGTCAGTGGCAGCAGGTTGGTCGGGGCAGCACAAGCAGTAGGCAATAGTTGCGGCCGTATAGTTACATATAGATACACATACAACATAACCGGGTATGCTCATGAACACAATAGCGGGTGATAGCCAGCCACATTCATTGAAGATACACTAACAAATTCTACTATTGATTTGTTGCTGGATCGAAGGTCACGTCATATGCCATAATAGCAACCATGTGTTTATACGTACATACTCGTATACATATACATATGTATATACAATAAAAAGTAGCGACAGACAACTGATACATTGGCTAAAGAAGCAACGAAAACGGAAAAAATTGCAACACATAACAAATATTAATAAAAGCATGGGGGAAATGGGAGAAAATTGGGAGGTTAAAAGCAGCGTATTATTTATATGTATATAAGTGAAAAAACAGTTAGGTAACGCAACTACGATATTCACAGCCGCAGCGCTTGGCTCTGATGCCAGAACTAAATAAGCCGCCTCTGTCACTGCCTCTGCTACGAACTCCCGTTGATATACATGTATTCTATTGTATTGTATTGCCTGCTGTTAGCATTGCTCTAGTTGTTGGATATTGTAAAATTTCTCGATTTCTTATTCTCATTTTTATATGTGAAGCAAATTGCACTGTTATCTAGCGTGCAGTCAAATGAATGCATGCACACACTTGCATACACATATAATTGCATATGTAGGTATGCGTTCCCCAACAAACTCTCGCTGCAATTCTTTGGATTTACGTTTTATCTCTATATTTAAAACTAATATTTACGTTACTTGAAATCAAATACTGGATTACTTACATAGCCTGTTGGAAATGCATTTGCTGCGGCGCCTGCTGCTACTGTAGACGTCCGATATCCAGTCCAGTTACAGCTGGAGTCTTGCTTTCCCTAAAAAGTATGTTTATGTTGTCAGGAGGAGTTCGATTTTGCGCTGGAGTTTTGGCATAATCACCGACAGCGATATCAGTGTAATGGTCGCCGTTGATGAAACCAAAATTTTCTTAAACGAAACAGTCAGAATAGGTTTTAATACATATTTTTAAATGCTGCAACTGCTACTGATGTTGCTCCTCAATCCCATGTGACGTTCCTTTTTATTTGGTAGTACGATTCGCACACTGAGCACTGAGTGCATCTATGGTTTTGCTTTTTTAGTGTTATATCAAATCGATTTTTTCGCTACCGCTTTGGCTTCGATTATTTGTCCACGCACACACATTTACTACGATTTGTGATTCTCGCATAGGCGTGTAAATTGCACTATTACATAGATATGTACATATATGTTTAGTTTTTAATTTTTGGACAATATACTAACTAGTCAATCATGTGACGAAATGGCCAGCTCCACCAATAAACTTTGTGCATTCTATGCATCCTATAATGGAAACTACTGAATATGAAAAGTTGAATGTCCAAACTTTTTTTCTGTATTATCTTTTGGCGTATTTTCCGCACCTCTTTATAGCAAATTACGAAGAAAATAACTGCAAAAACTTTTTCCGTTGTTCAATCTATAGTTTTCAATATTCGTAAGACTATTCGCCTACTCGCTTTCTCTACCTTTTTCTCGATTTCCCCTGTATGTCGTTCGATCGAACACCTTTCCACTTCCTCACACCGCACTCAAGTATGTGCAATGGACACTACTCCAGACGACGCAAATTGTTTTTTACAGCGCTGCAATTGCTGGTATTCTAGCTTTGCTAAAGCAACCATTTAAACGCTTTACCCCAAAATTTTTATTTATACCTTTACTTAAACGATGGGTTCTCACAAATTTACAATGAAAATTCCAAGATTTTGTGGTTGAAAACTATAAATATATGAAAATTTGCACGGCCGGCCGAACAATTTTATGAAATTTTCCGAGATCGGCGTTAAGTTGGCTGCCCTGGAATGTGACAATTCAGCTTGGAGTGAAAAATCTGAGCTGGAAAAGCTTTGAAAGATGCGGTACTGCCAGATGCACATGCGAAATGTATAAGGTGGTTCATATTACAATTTTCAAAAAAAATATATATATGAGTGTTCCTGTATTTTCTAATAAACCCAACCCATGAACGAAAGACACAAGATCACGTAAGAACAAGAGAGTGAAAAAAGTCGATTTTTTTAGCGGGTTCTACGCCATCTTGTTTCACTGGAAAACGAGCGAAAAGTAAACAAAGCAAAGAAAACAACGAAAGCCAAAATTATTGTCAGCCACTTTAAACGCACAATTTAGGTAAAATGATGCAACAAAATGCTTTAAAATGTGTTGTTATGTTGAATTAACTTTACTTGCATAAAGGGGAAAAAAGGTGTTTCTGGGGATGTAAACAAACGCTCAGCTGACGAACCCGCTTTCGCAAACTTTTTTCTCAAAACCAGTTACAAATACAACGTCGCGTTCTTACGTGATCTTGTATTTTTGGTTCATGAACCCAACCAATATTTGTTTGAACTCAACTTGAGGTTAACAGCTCAAACAGTCAACGACGTAGCGTAAACGTAGGTTGACGTACGTAGCAGCACATCAAATTTACTGTTGATAGAGAGAGAGAAGCAACGGCAACGTCACCGCCATGCGGTGGTGAGTTTTTGTTAACACGCGAATCCCATAAGATAGATCGTGTCTGCGTCAACCTACGTATACGCTACGTCGTTGACTGTTTGAGCTTTAAGTTGAGAACTAAGGTATTTCTCAAATCTCCAACGTTGTTTCTCGACGGTGGCTTTATTTCTTTATCAAACGATTTTGCTGGATAAACGTATAAATTTCAGCAAAATTCAACCCAGACAGACTGGCGGGTGGTCGACTTTGCTACGAACACATACAAAACAAATTAGCACAATGGACGAGGTACGAATGAAACGTAACTAGCCAGATAAGTTAGATAATAAAGAATTTTGTGCAATTACTTACAAAGGTGCGTTCATGAAACAATGCGAATAAACTGATAAATTTAAACAATTTATCCCTTTATCACTTTAGATGATAAAGTTTATAAACTGTGTAAAACTTGTGATAATTTACTGTTTGACAGATCAACCAGGATTTTGAGAAACAATTTTTGTTTCGTAATATTTTCTATAGCAGCCCGTTATCATTTCATTTCATTCATTATTTTTATTCACATATTATTTTTTCATTTGCTTTTAATATTGTATAATACATTTTAATATAAAATTTTCCGCACTTCGGCAACACTGAAGTTTACGAGGTCGTTTGTGCATCAAATTTGTCTCCTAATTTAACAAGGGGTACGTAAATTTTGACAGTTATTATTTGACAAAGCTCGTAAATTTACGAGGCTTTTACGAGTTTAAGCGTAGACCCCTTCTGGTTGTTAAACATTTTATTTTTCATACAGGTGCAGAAGTTTGAACATTGATAGGTTTTTATATTTATTTATTAACATTTGGGGTTCTTGTTTAAATTCTGAGTAAGCGTGCGAACGGAAAGTCGTTTTTGAATTGTAATTAAAATATGTATAAGTAAAGAAAATGTTGAAAATGGCAGCTACTTATTTAAGATAAGGACCTTTGGTTCATATTTAAAAACAAAACTTGTTTTCATTCGTTTTAATTGAATTGAACTACGCTCTTCGCTTAGGCCCTGTCTCCACAGGAAAACACTGATGTCGTGATAACCATGTCAAAAAATATATTTCCAATGGAGGCCACCTATTTCGCATGGGCTGCAATCAAAAACGATAGAATAGAATCAGTTCATTACACCATGGTCACAGGTGTCAATTCAAATAAATTTTGACAAGCGTTATATATACGATTTTAAAAGCAAGTTCTTGACCGTGTAGCTTCACATTAAAATCTACTGTATATTTTACGTAGAAATGGCAATACTTCAAGTTGACAGTTCGAATGACAGACGTCAACTTCGCGCCGGCAGCTGTCACTCTTCCTTCTCTCCGGCAAGTAGCGAACATGGCGACAGGCGTAAGTGAATTTTTCGCGAATTTAATTCGCAAATATCAAGCACATCGCGATATTTTAAAATAAAATTAACTGCTCGAGAACTTAATTGTAGAATGTATTATTTAAAAATGCAAGCAATTTATGTGAACTTTTTCATTTATAGACGCTTTATACCTACCCAGAAAACTTCCGTGCGTACAAGGCACTCATCGCTGCCCAGTACTCCGGCGCACAGGTGAAAGTAGCCGAAAACTTCGTTTTTGGCGAGACAAACAAATCTGCCGAATTTCTGAAGAAGTTCCCCAGCGGCAAGGTAAGAATCGAAAAAAAACTAAATCATGCGTGTAATCGTCGTCGTCAAACCTCTGCGTGCACACGTCATCAGCAATCGATTGTTACTTACATATAGGCATTTTACGTTTTCTTATATTATTTTCTAGGTGCCTGCCTTCGAAACTGCTGATGGCAAGTACCTGTCCGAGTCAAATGCCATCGCTTTCTATGTAGCCAATGAACAGCTGCGCGGTGGCAAATCTCCATTTGCACAAGCTGAAGTGTTGCAGTGGTTGTCGTATGCTGACAATGAAATCGTTCCAGCATCCTGTTCCTGGGTCTTTCCATTGCTGGGTATCATGCCTCAACAAAAGAACAGCACAGCCAAACAGGATGTCACCGCCATTCTAACCTTGTTGAACAAGAAATTGTTAAATAGTACATATTTGGTTGGTGAACGCATCACACTCGCTGACATAGTCGTCTTCAGCAGCCTCCTGCACTTGTACCAATATGTGTTGGAGCCAAAAGTGCGTGGCGAGTTCGGCAATGTAAATCGTTGGTTAGTGACAATCCTCAATCAGCCACAAGTTAAGGCTGTTGTAAAGAACTTTGCCTTATGTGAGACTGCGCTCGCTTTCGATCCCAAGAAATATGCCGAATTCTTAGCTAAGTCTGGTGGCGCTAGCGACAAGAAACAACAACCAAAGCAGAAGGAAGAGAAGAAGCCGAAGGAGGAAAAGAAGAAGGAAGAGAAACCCAAGGAGGAATTGGATGCTGCTGATGAAGCGCTGCTTTTGGAACCCAAATCAAAGGATCCCTTCGATTCAATGCCCAAAGGAACTTTCAACTTTGACGATTTCAAACGCTCTTACTCTAACGAAGATGAGGCCGTATCCATTCCCTACTTCTGGCAGAAATTCGATCCGGAAAACTACTCAATTTGGTTCGGTGAATACAAATACAACGATGAGTTGGCCAAAGTATTCATGTCTTGCAATCTCATTACCGGTATGTTCCAACGCTTGGATAAGATGCGCAAGCAAGCCTTTGCCTCCGTATGCCTCTTCGGCGAGGACAACGACAGCACCATTTCCGGAGTTTGGGTGTGGCGCGGCCATGACTTGGCTTTCACACTTTCACCCGACTGGCAAATCGACTACGACTGCTACTCATGGAAGAAACTCGACCCCAGCTCTGATGAGACCAAACAATTGGTGCAACAGTACTTCTCATGGTCTGGTACCGATAAGGATGGCCGCAAATTCAACCAGGGTAAAATCTTCAAATAAATTGAGGACAACCAGAAGAAAATCAGCATTGTATGATCTTGTGATTTGACCATCACCAAATGTGTCCTAATTTATAGTTAACCAACAAAATATACCCCTTCAACCATCTTAAAAATAAATACATACCTTTGTAAAGCTCACAAAAATTATCGCCTTTTTGTAATTAAAAGATTTGGCTTTCTGTTTTTGTAAGCACAGCAAACTAAACAACATGCTGAGAAATTATTTATAAATCTGTTCTTTTTTAAATAAACGTTTGCAAAAATGAAATTCTGGTTACTTTTTATTTTAATAGGGACTTTGTCGGAGACAGACTGCTGCTGACCCAAATATGTAAATATATCAAAATGAACTGAAAGGTCTAAAAAATGAAGACGTGGAATCTTTTGAACGGACACTATAAATTGATCCGAGAAAGCAGAGAAGGCTATGTAAATTTTTAAAAGACATGTATAATCTGTTAAAGGTTATAACACTTTTATAATTTATTGTTTTAGTTCCCGTTTAACATTTATGTAGTTCGACTTACAAAGCAAAATAAATTTCTCAATTTAATTAGGTAAACCATATATGTATGAATGAGCGAAGCTTTAAAGCTTTACTGCTCGTTGAAATGCGTTTATTAGAATATATAAAATAATCCAACTGCTAATAACAAATTCAATAAATTTTTTATGTATTGTTCCCTTTTTGCCTAAAACTGTCCATCGTTTCGAATTGCTTATTTGTTGACACATGTGAACCAAAAATATAGGTTAGCCGCTACTGTTGATAATAGCGAATGGAACACATCTTTACTGCTGCTTCCTTTGTAAGACAACAGGTCCAACGTTATCGCCCGTTCGCTTGTTATGTTCACCGTGGCTGCCATCACAGTAGGGCCACTATACGATTGGTTTGAGGTGTGATTAGTAATCAATCAATAATTTTAATTCCAACATATGAAATTTGTTCATAGGTACTTACGTTCTTGGTTTTCCAGCAGCGACATAAAGCAGCTTTTTCGGCAATATTCTCAATGTCGATCATATCCACGACTTTAGCTTCCGATTTGCGTATAGATTGATTGCATCGAGCGGCACCTGCGCAATCCCTTCGCGCTGCTGGGCAAAAAGCCAAGTATGACATATATCCAAGGCCAGCAACTGCGGCGGTGGGGGGAATGAGCGCTAGCCAGTCCTTAACTGTAAGAGATCAACGTTAAAATAATTCAATTTCACCGAATAGTGCTTTGTACATTTCTAATTACTAGTAGCTGGTAGTTTGACCCTTGAAAGCGCTAATTAGCATATAAATTAATACATAGTAGGTAGCAGCGGAATTACAAAATGGAATAATAACCATTTTGAAGGTCAAAGAACGACGTCGGTGTAGCAAAAGGTGCGAAACGACAAATTGACACAAATGCATATATCTGCAGGCTAGGATGTAAAAATTAATAGCTTCTTTTTTAAATAAAATTAAAGTTTTTTCGGCGCTAAGACGCTTTTTAAAACTAGCATATTCTAAATTATTAGGCATAGGTTTTCCTCTCAATTCAAATTAAATGTTATCTTTGCACTTTTCTACGGCACTAACTGTTTACTATTAACAATTGTATATACGTATTAGCATTAGTACATAAGGTACTAAGTGATTGTTGCATAATCGCAAAGTGTAAATATACATAAGTGCTTTTTCTCCAATAGACAGGGCGACCAAGGAACACAAACACAAACCGGCAGAAGGAATTGTAACACATCTTTACGCGATTTTACATATTGTTATAACTGCCCCAAGCTCTACAAAACTGGATGGTCTGACAGTACAAGTTCCCTGACCTCATTGAAAATAACTATTTGGACCAAATTCTCATCAGACACACATGTACAAACATTTACATTTGTATGCAAAATGCAATGCATCTACTTACATGACAATTTGAACCAACCCGTAAAGGTATCTGGTATTGGTAAGTTAGACAGATAGTCTGGAATTGTGTTCTTCACCAAGCTCGAAACTGCCTGCATTTTTACTTAATTTCCTTTTGGTATAATACTTTGAGCTTATACAAATTTGAAACAGGTTCTAATCACTCTAAAATCTTCGGTTTTTGAACGACGAAACCGAAACAGCGACGGCACGTTACAAAATCAAAGAAAACTGAAAACTCAAATTTCAATCACAAAGCAAAGATGAAGAAAGGAAAATACACAAAACAAAAACAAGAATGAATGTCAGAACAGGGTTAGATCACAAAACTTCCTTGGAATGAATGCACTACCGGACGTCACTGGAATGCACTACCGGAAGTATAGGGTGATAGACACTGGTTTCACCCTGTTGCATTTGGTCCCAACCGATATTTGGTCCCATATAATATCCCATTCCTTGTAACTGTAATTCCCATTTCCAATTAATTAATTAAATTATTTACATTATAATCGTTCTTTAAATCGTTTAAATCGTAAATTAAATCGTTCTTTGGTGATTCGTCTGAATCGCGTGAATCGTTCTTGAGAACTCGTTCGAGATTTTTGTAAACAAAAGTGTGATTATATTACGTAATTACGTGAATTATATAGCTTTATAAAAATGAGTCGTGAGCGAAAGTGCCGTGTAAAAAACTGCATTAACGAAAATAGCGAGATGCGGTTTTTTTCGTTCCCCAAGGACGCAAGTGAGGTGGCCAAATGGAGGGTGAATCTCCGCATAAAGGATAATCCGCCGCACAACAACTCCTTTGTGTGTGAGTTGTCCGACGTTGGTTGGATGTTTCTAAACCCAGGTGCTATTGAACTGACATCCTAAACGGTTTGGGACCAAAAATGCACTACCGGAATCGGTTAGGGACTAAAATTCGGAATCGGTTAAGGCCGGTCCACATAGAACTTTCGCCTTGGCGTTGGCGTTGATTAACCGCTGACTATGCATCATACACACACATGAACCAATTGTATTTGGATGATGATACACATAATGATATGGACATGCCAACATATCCATAGCAGGTCTGACCAAAGGGAGAGGTGTGTCAGTTAAGTAAGATTGAGCTGGCATGTGAAGAGGTGGTTGGTGCCGTGCGGGGAGTCTCCACATGTGCGGGCACTCAATGGGCATATTGAGGTCGAGTCTGGATAGGTAGCTTTTGGGGCGACTACAATATTCAGACCGTAACTGAGCCAGGGTAACGCAGGTCTCTCTTGGCAGTTGAAGCTCCCACGACAACCGGTTCTGCGTACCGGAATGACTCGGGTCTTACCCGACCACAGGCTGTTGTTTCGGCGACCTAACCCCGTTTAGATCAGCAAACCTCTTCAATAATTTCACGTTAATTTTGTGGTCAAAGCATTCGCTGCCAAGCGTTCATTGTACAAAGCATTTTTAACGTGCGTTCTGTCAAACCAACTCTAACGCCAAAGCCAACGCGAAAGTTCTTTGTGGACTGGCCTTTAGGGACCAATTAATTTCCTTCATGTCGACATGACAGCAATTTTGCCGATTGGTCGCGACTGCGAAACAAGCAGCGCCATTCCTGTCAAAGAAGTTGAACACGACGCAAGTATTTCCAATAAGACGCGTACGCGTACGAATTGAGTGGTTTTTAGGTTGTAAAAAGTGGTTTGCATAATTTAAATAAGTGAGAAGTTATCTCCAAAATTTGTGAAATAACTTTATCTTAGTAGAAATAAAGTGAAAAATTGGAAATATCAAACTGAAAATGCAAATTGTTGGCCTTCGTGAAGCGGTAGGATACGACGCGAGTATCTGACCGAAAAAGCTCAGTAGCGGCGGCCACAACGATGTCGCGCTGACGTCGACGCAGACGATAACGCGTCTACAGCTACAACGGACGAAGCAAATCGACACGAACATCGACAATCGGAGTAATAGTGATGATGAAGTAAACCCGTTGGGGCCTGTGGAAAATTAATTTTAATTGAAAGATATTGCAAAATCTGCTAAAGCAGTAAAATCAAATAAGAAAAGGTGTAGTGATTGAATGTATAAAACGTATGTATAAAGTTGGTGAATTGTGCGGAGCAGAGGTATAGTGCTATCGGAGTGCAAAGTCGGAGAAAAAACTTCAAGTGAAGGAAACGAGAAATTAATATACGTAGATAAGGGAGAAGTAAAGAATTAGAAAACAGCGAAAAAGGTTGCACGTTAACGATTTCAACGTTTGGTGGTTTCACGTACACCTTTTTGTGTTGTGGATTGGGTTAAAAAGAATTTGTGAAGCGAAACAATTGCTAAAGAACAAACAAAACTGGTGGTTCACTGCGATGCGCCATTGCTTTCGGTGTTTGTGTTTTGTGTTCGCCGCGAAAGAGTGTACAGTGTAGGGAAGAAGTGGACGTCGAAGCAAGACTGCGCAGACAACGAATTGAACAACAAAACATTTGCGGCTGCTTGTTGGCTTTTTGCTAACGGCGACTGTAGCGCCGCGACTACGCCGACATCGACTGCGTTAATGACGGCAACTGCGTCTGTGACGGCGACAGTTGCAGCGACAGCGTCATCGGTGTGACCAAGCCCAAAAATCCAGTCAAGCACTACAAAACGCCAGCACGGAAAGTTCATAGCACAGAAAAGAAGGAGAGAGCCAAGTTAGTGGCTGCGAATGCGAACGACAAACAGTGAAAAGTGGTAGTTAATTTTGTGAAGAACTTTTTGAATAAAAGTCGATAAAACAATCAAGTAACGAAGTGAGTGCGAAGCTGGAACGAAGGTGGACGATAGCCACCAAGAAGTACACGGTAAGCGGGCGATACAAACCCTGCTAAGTACGAATGTAATAACTAGTAATTAAAAAAAAAAAACAATTATAAACTTGGGAGTACGTCAATTGCCACGACAGCGACGTTGACTGCTGAATAATCCCATCTGAACAAATCGCGACTAGGTACATCGGCGGTGTGTGTGTGCGTGTTGTGATTGCACATTGTGCAGAGGCCAATAGCCAACCAGTATTTGTACACCTCAAAAGCCACAACAGCCAGCGCCAGCAGTAGGAGTACCTCCAAAGAGCATTGGATTTGTAACGACGGCAGCAATAGTAGCTTCAGCACTGTGGCATTATAATGGCTGCCGCTGAGGAACTGAAAGTGGTTTTGCGGCGCAATGAGCATTCCGGTTTTGGGTTTTCGCTGTTGGGTACAACCGGACCACCGCATGTAATCTACGAAATACACGAGAATTCACCGGCCGCTGATAGTGCGGTAAGTGAGAATGTTTTTCTTTATGTATGGTGAATTTAAACATTTCTACAGTGGCGTTCAAAAATAGGATTATAGTTTCTTTATTGTAAGTACGTTTGCAAACATGCACTTATGTAGTTGGAATCAATTGGAATTAAATTTTTTCTCGTTATGGTTTGTGACGGGACTCTATCGAATCACTAGCGTTTTTTTTTTTATATATATTAACAGCCCTGTTCGCGTACGCACTAAGCAGTAAAATCCAGTACTAATTTTACTGAAAGGCGTTTCCGTACGCAAAAACTTGCAAGAACCCGCAAAAGAGGGATAATTGAGAAAGCAAACATGTTACAGAAATTTTAACTAAAAAGCTTCCGATTTGAATGAAATTTCGTTTTTATTTTCAAGAGTTACTGAGGATCCGTCAAATTCGCTTGAATGGATTTGTCACATACAGTGGCGGCATATATAATAGACTCACTCGCCTTACTTTGAGTGTATTTGCTATATTTCTTTGGTTTATTTTATGTTTAATATTTTTTTATAAAAGCCTGGCTAGATATACAACAAACACCATACTATATAAATTTGTATAAAAATTATAAAAATTCGATTAATTTCCACCAAATTCCTATACAAAGTGTGCTCGAAAATGTTTTTATCTGGAAGAGAATGCCTAGCATAGTCAACAAAAAAAATTTTCAAAAATCAACAGTATTTCCTAGCCGCTTGAAACTCATACTTTTTTATACTAAAATTGAATGGACTATAAAACTGCAAACTTTATTCTGAATAAAAAGTTTGAAAATTTAGTGAAAGTTTGCCAAATTTTTATAATTGTTCAAAGTTTGATATATATGACGTTTGTTGTATAACTACCTGGGCTTTTATAAAAAAAATATTAGACATAAAATAATAGAAGTACGGGATCGCAAAAACCCACATTTCTTGTTTGTTTTTGTCACTTACAAGCGAACACTTGGAAATTGAATTTGGGTTTCACAAATTAATTTTAAGTATATGATTATTGAAAATACATCAACAGGCAATACACTATTCCTTAAAAACACCAAGTAAATGCAGGTATGTACATGTAAACATAAAACAGCTGATATGCACTTTTACACATTATCCATTTTTACCCGAAGTAAAAGTCCGGGCAGTTTCGGGTAGAAAGAAAGTTCTAATTTTCGCTCTCTATTGCCCCGTTTGTTGAGTACGGGAATGATTTCTGGACTGTCTTGGGCACCCGCTGGAAGGAACCTAATATATGGTTTTACTGTATACATTTTTACTAGTAACTATTTGCTAGTAAAAAAAAAACAGCTGATGGCATGATGCTTAATGCAATTAACATTACCAAAAGAATTGTTTGTGGTGTTTTTAGGGTTGCAATTGACAAAATAAACCTATTTAAATATATGTATAATAAGATGAGAAATACTATTTTTCTTAGAAAACTGCGTCGGAAAATAACAAATTAATCAGCTGTTCATAAAACTTGCAAAAATTTGGTTACTGGCAAGTTACTGGATATTTTTTTTTTGCTGGAGAATACGAAAACATAATTAACTGTTTTCTATATCTTTTTGCTGCTCAATTGAAACCGCAATTGCTGTGTGGTTATGCCTGTACAATTATAGTGTATTTGTTGGGCATGACCTCATCTTTATAGAATGCTTTCTTTTTTTGCTGTTATCTACCAACTGTATTGTCAATTCTGTCATAGACGTTGGCTGTGTTGTGTTGCAATGTACTTAGTACTTTATGTGCGCTTTCCAATTAGAAGTGTGAGAAATAAAGGCACCGAATCAACTGGAAACGCGAGTGGTTGGTCGGTCGGCGGCTTGCGGATTCAACTAAGAAAAATATGTAGTATGTACATACATATGTGTGTAAATAGTTGTGTATGGCCTGAGCATTTACATTTCTGTACGGTTTTATTTTTTCTACTTGTTATAATTTTCTCCCAAGTGTTCTTAACAGTTGTGTCTTAAAAATGTATCCCATTTTTAGCACTTACCGAATACTTTCATTCGCGGTATTGCTAACTAGAGCTGGAAAACTATCGATAGTGTTCCCACTCGATAATTTCGATAGTTGTAATTTATTCATCATCGATAGTATCGTTTCGTTTTCAATGGGTAATTAAGTTCACACACATACATATAAATGGTCATAAAGACTATAAATAGATGGCGGATATAACTATCGATAGTAACAACAACCTAAAAACGATGGTGTCGATAGTGGCAATAAAAGGCACACTATCGATACTATCGATAGTGGCATCGATAGTTTTCCAGCTTTATTGCTAACCACACGAAAATTAAAATAATCAGCATATTCTTCCTTATGTTCAAAAACTAGATTTTTATTTATGGGTACTTTTTGTTAGTTTACATACCTACAAGCATACATAAATATGTATGTGTTTTTTGTTTATTTTTTTTTCGCTTTCTCTTGGGGTGCGGTTTCAGTTTTAGTTTATTTCCAATCTCATTTTCTTTTCGCGCATTTCCAAAGCTAAACAAACAAAAACTTGCTGCTCGTATGTACATACATATGTACATACATACATATCACAAACATATTATTTGGTTTTCTTTGTTAGTTGTTTGGATAATTGTCGTATGCATTTCTTTATTGACTATGGTACGGTTAATTCCTGTTGCGGCATTGTCACTTTCAATTATGTATTCTATTCTTGTTATTCCCAGGAAGGCAATCAGTTATATATTGCGTGCCACCTGCCAAACAGCTGATTTGCCGTTTTAGGCCGCTTTTGATTTCCGTCTTATAGCGCCTCAATTTCAGCTCCGTTTTACATATTCATGTAAGTATGTATGTACAGTGACGAACAAAAGTATTGGCACAGTGAATTTTTCGCAATATATGCAAAGTTTATTATTATTACTAATTTGCGATAATTAAAAAAAATATGGTTCATACTCCACCAGAAAACATAAAAATTAAATCTCCAAACTTTGTGCAAACCTTAGGAAAATTCAATACATTTTTAGAAAAATTCTAAGAATGCTGTTTTATGGCCCATCCAATTTTAGTATAAGAAAGTGTAAGTTTGAAGTTGCTAGCAAATCGCGTTGATTTTTGGCAATTTTTTATATGTAGAAATTGGGCAACACCTTCTACTAAATGTTTCATAAATTTTTTATAAAAATATAGTTGATTTTATAGCATAAACTATATAAGTCAAAGTTTAAAACTAAATAGCACACTTTTATTTTTTACAATATTCACAATGTTTCACGGGATATATTTTCTCGTTAATTTTTTATAAAAATATGGTGGATTCTATAACATAAACCATATAAGTCAAAGTTTAAAACTTTGTGTACAGTTCGGGAAAATTTAACAAATTTCAAAAAAGTGTCATCATTTTATTATATGGAAGAAAATACGCAACACCCGCGACAAAAAAAAAAAAATTCCCAAAAATCAATGGGATTTTTCCGAAATTTCAAACCTGAATATCCAATAAGTTTCTAAAAAGTCGGGAAAAAAGTTTAAAATTTTGCTGAATTTTTTTTTTAATTTTGTTAAATTTTCCTGAACTGTACACAAAGTTTTGAACTTTGACTTATATGGTTCATATTATAGAATCCACTAAATTTTTATAAAAATTAACGAAAAAAATGTATATCGTAAAACATTGTGAATATTATAAAAAATAAAAGTGTGCTATTTACATAGGTGAGCGCCACTGTAATTATGTTTGAGTTATTATTCATCAGATGTGTTAATCATTTGCACTAAACGCCAACACAGGAATGTACACAACTTATATGGACTAATAAATAAATTTACATTTCAAATCGATTTGTTGACTGTGCAATCAACTAAATATTTGCTTTGTAGCATTTAACCAATCTGAGTCACGTTTATTATTTGTTAACTTGTTTATATTTCACTAAATCTATGGCAATTATGAATGAGCTATGTACATACCTATGTATGTATGTATGTCGGTATATCAGTTACTGATTGAGGACCACTTAATTTTGACCGGCATTCGATAATTTTTATGTGAAATGCATTCTGTGATTAATTAAAATGTTTGACTTTCGAGTGCTATAACAACAATATGCATAAACGCATGTGTTTGATAACTCGCTTATTTTCTGCCAAAGAGGCACAAAAAAAAATGTATCTCCAATTTATGCAAATATTTTTTTTCTTGATTATATTCTAACTAGAAAAGTAATGTTACTTATAACCATTTTTGTATTCATTGCATGTGCCTGTGAGATTAGCAATCAGTTATATTAACCGATCTTATTTTTGAGTTGTGCCTCTTTTGAAGCGAGTGTGCGAACTGTGTCGTTTTGTTGAGACCAATTTTCGTCAGGGAGGGATGCCAATAAGAAGTTGTGTCCGTGATCTTTCTATTTCAGTGGTTGTGAGGTGTCATGCTCCCTCCATTTTATCGCACAAACCTCAAACTGTGCTACAAAGTTTTAAACTCCACCATACATTACTTAATACTTATTAGCTGTATTTAATTTCATTAGATTTTGGTAAAAAACGGTTAATTTTTAATTTTATCATTCCCGTTTTTAGTCATTATTTTAGCAACCACAGCTTGACGTCAATTGTGTGAAACCTTCCACACCAAAAAATTAACCACTTCCTCTACTGACACTATGCTACAGATATTTCTACTAAGATAATAAGCTGATTAGGATAACATTTAATGAATTCTGTATGTTACCAGATCATTGATGCCGTCATAAATAGCAGTTCAAGAGTGATTCCAAGGGTGATGCAGATATTTGACAACAATTATTTGGGAATTGTTTATGTTTTTTTTTTTTAGACGATTGGTACTACAGGCTTTGGCAAACTTGGTCATGGAGTGTGACAGTCAGTTGAAAAAAGCGTAAAAGTGACCCAAACGTTTAATGAAAATGATCAATCTCTTTGGCGTGCATTTCCCGCATTGTGTGACACATTTTCAAACTGCCACATTTGGCGTATTGAAAATCCTCATATCATTCAAG